TCAAAGATTAAATTGAAATAATTACATTTATTGTATATTTCTGACAGTTTGCTGGTCTAGGAAGAGAATCTAAAAACTATACTTCTCTGTCACTGCTAAACTTGATACTCAGTACTGATCATTCGTTACTCTGGATGTTTTGTGTTGTTTTCTGAACTAATGGTTGCTGTAGCAACTTCTTATCTTGGTTCAGGCAAATAACAACTCACTTATGACATCACACTCTGGCACAAGAGTGTGCACAAACTGATTTAGCACAAACTGATTTAACCAATTCTTAAGGTTTCCTCTTTAAAGCGATTGCATCATTTTACTGTAGGAAGCAAATGGAAGAATATGCATTCAGGCTATATTACATTGCAGCCATGTGAATCCACCTAAGATTTATTTCAAGACAAACTGTAATTGCTTGCTGAAAATTCTGTGTTCTATTTTTCAAAAAATATTTTTCAGAAGTATTATAAAAAAAACTTAGGAGTTTCTAGGTATCTGAAAAAATTGCTGATGGTCACCTAAAAAGTGACCATTAAAATAATGTATGATTCGATATTAACCAAAATAAAGAACTAGTTGAAGAAATAAATAGAAATATCCCCAAAAAATCTTCTTGGACAAAGAACTACATTCAGGCTTACTTATATTTACAGTAACTCAATAGAAACCATAGGATTTAAATTAGCATCAAGTAAATTAATCCTATAGATTTGAGCATGTCTACTCCTCTGTTCTTTGTATGAGTTAATCTGTATTTAATACAGATAGTTAAATAATATAGTTGAGGGGGAACAGGCAGTACAAAACAAGAATTTCATTGCTAGGATAAATTATCCATCACATAAATGAAAAAATAAGTTGATGGTCATGTTCAAGATTTCAGCAGGCATCTTCTGCCTCAAGCATCCTTTAATTCCAGCTTGATCTGACTGATCCAAAAAACATTTTGCAGGTAATTTCATGGAAAACAATTCAGGTATGATTGTTTATCTAAAGACAGATACCTCAAACAAAGAACAAGAATCTCCAGTTCCTGTGCATCTTCAGTTGCCCAAGTTCTCAATTCCATGAAAGTTCCACCCCAGCACAAAAAGCAAGAGGTATAATGGGCCCACGTGGCTGGGGTGAACAGACTATGGTTCAGTGGTTTAGCATGTGCTGACAAGTGGAAGATCAATAGAGGTGAATATGTATAGCTCAGGGTT